ATGACAGAAACATTAATGAATTCCAGAAAGGTTTGTCTCCTCTCCAAAATCAAAAGTGCCTAACACTGTGTTTAGCACATTTCTATTTAAAGGTAATTTAAGATACATGTTTATGACTTGTTTAAATACCACATAACATCTCTCAGAGGAATCACAAGAAACTAGAAATAGCGATCGCCTCTGGGCAGGGAACGGAGAGCGGCAATGTGAGGCTAATTTTTCACTGCACAGCATTTATATATTTTGAATTCTTCCTCTTGTGTATCTGTTACTGAACGGAAGGCTTTTGGGAGAGCCGGAGGAGGTAGCTAGCATGGAGCAGGAAAGCTGAAGGTGCAGGTGGGCAGGGGGCTGGTGCTCCCTCCGGCCAAGCTCTCCTGCCAGAGGCTCCAAGGCCACCAAGCCTTCTTCCTCAGGACTTTGAGATGGAGGAGGGCGGGGCCGGGGAAACCTTTTAACACAGAGCACTAAAAGTTCTCGGGGGGGGGGGCTGGGGGGGAAAAGGAGGAATCAGAGACCCTCGTTTGGCAGGAGGTTTGTGGATTGCAAATTGGTTGCAGGGAAACACCCCCACCGTCCCCACCCCGGGACACTACAGCCTCAGACCTCCGTGATCCTGGCTTCTGAAACTGGTCAGCAGCACTCTGGAGGCGGCGGTTTTGAAGGGCCAAGGAGAGGGGCTGTCTGCCTGAGAAAGAGGATGGCGGAAAGCGGTTCACGCTTATCCACCTCCGAGACCACGAGGGTCGGGGGGTCTTGCTCAGGGAATGAGAGCTTCCCTCCCCAGTAGCCTCCAACCCCCCCCCCCCCCCGCCACGCTTCCCACCCCAGAAGATCTGCTTGGCCCACGTTCCAGCGCAGCGCGGTGGAAGAGGGCCCTCGTGTGCCAGTGCGGACTCTCGCGCCTCTCCAGCGCGCCGGCGCAGGACACAAAAAACCACAGCTCCCAGCAGCCCCCGCGCCGCTCGCGCGCAGCCGCAGAGCAGACGCTGCCCGGAGCGAGGGCCCGGAGGCGGGGCGAGCGGCTGTGGGGCGGAAGTCCGCCGCCCTGCTCGGTCCTGGCCTTTCGTGCCGCCTGGCCCCACCGCCCGCGGGCACCGGAGCTAGCCCCGCAGCGGGTGAGTGACTCAGCGCCCGCGGCCGCCGGCGCCCTGCCCCCGCCGTGGGCTCAGGTCCCCGTCCCGGAGCCTGCCGTCGCCCTCCGACCCCACCGCGTCCCGCCCCCTGACCCCTCAGGCCCGCTTCCCGTCCCACCCATGCGGACCTCTGTCCCCGGACTTGCAGAGTGGAGTGGGACGCCGCCCTCTGACCTGTGGGAAAGTCCCCGTCTTCCGACAGGCGGTGGACACCACCCTCTCTGACTTTGGGACACCTCTTCCCTGGGACTAGTGTGGGGACCATTTCCCTCTGATTAGTGTGGGCACCTCCCCTATCTGATTGGTTAGTGTGGTGGCTATCCCCCTCTGATTAGTGTGGGGCACCTCCACCCTCTGGGTAGTATCGGGCACGCCCCCGGGAATGACCCCCTCCCACCACCCTCTGACTTCAGACAGCCCTCCTCTGCTCTATGCAGGGCCTCTCTGGACTGATAAGGGCATTTTCTCCGCCTTACTGGCACTTCATCACACCTGTAACAGGCGAGGCTTCCCCACCCCATCCTACTCCTTGCTCTCCCTGCCCTCATCCAGTTTAGAGCCTTCCTCCAGGCAGCACAGCTCAGTCTCGTCTTTCTGCATGCAAACAATTTGCCCTCCCCACTGTACCCGTCTCACACCCCTCCTGCCCTCCGGTCTGGATTCTCTTATCCCCCGGGACTGGTACCTTCTTGCCCGTCCATGTTGCCTGGTGCCTTTGCTTCTGCCCCCAAATGGTCTTTCCCTTGCCCTCTGTATCCCTAGGTTTGGCACAGAGCACCTGTGACCCCTCTAACGTCCGCCTCCAGCGGACACCTCTCTCTCCCAAGCACCTTTCCGCCTTAGTGGCCCCTGTCTCCATAGCAGCCCCAGTGCCCAGCTCCATTCCTCATTCTCTTCTTGGGGTTGTATGCTCAAGTCTTTCCTGCCACATTTTCAACAAAGCAGGGGTTTGGGAACATGAGTCTCTTGGTGTCAAGTGAATCTGGCTAGCCCTCCGGTGGAAGCTCCCAAACTTGAAACAAGTGTCAGGTCCTAGAAGACTCCGAAAGGAAGCTGGTGCTGCAGCCCTTCTGGAGCCACCACGTCTCCCAGCTCCTCCTCCCTCGCCCTCTGAGGAGCCTTGCTGAGAAAGGTCCCTCCGGTCCTGGGCCACAGACCCTCCCCCCCAGCCCCACCCCAGCCTCTCAGCAGGACAGTCTGGCTGGAGCCTGTGGGATGGCTGCAGGCTCCTCCCGGTGCTCCTCCCTGCTGGCCTCAATGAGCCCTCTATCCCAGCCCAGGCCCCTGCTGAAAGGCACATTGAAGGAGCCAGCCCTCTCCCCTCTGGATTCGGGAGGGTTTCCTGTTGGGGCAGCCCCAAGCATCTTCAGGGCCAGGACTCAGGTGAAGCATGGATTTGTCCAGGCACTGTCCCAAATTCTAGGTCTTCCGTCACTTTTTCATGTCCAAATGAATCTGATCACAAAAGAGAATGACATGTCACAAGGTGGTAGAGGAAACCGTCCACTCGAAGTGGGATAGGACCCCTGGACCCTGGGACCCCTCTCACTGGAGGGGCACATTGCAGTTTGACGCTTCTGTTCACCAGAGGTCTGTTTTCTTGTCCTGAGGCTATAACCATAGTTTCCTAGCCCGTGGCAGCTTAGTAAATGTGTTGTGTCGGCTCCCGGTACTCCACCTCACTGTGCACCTGGGCTGCAGGGCCCCCTGAGCTGCAGAGTACTGAGGAGACCCAGGGTGTGGGAGGAGCAGTTCTGCTTGCTCTGTGGGTGTTCTTACCCTGCCCCCTGGATGTGGCTCTCGGGGTGTCTGTGCCTGCGCAGGCTCCCACAAGTACATACGGCCCGTCATCAGAGTCTCAGTACCTTCTGGCAGCCATGTAGGTAGATGTATAAATGCTGTAGTGTTTTCTCTTTCACAAACAGAAGATCTGAGACCTGGAACTATTGTCCACATGCCGAAATGGGCCAGCACTATAACAAGGAAGTCCTTTTTCTGTTGTTTGTGGAATGATACCAAGGGTGCCGAAGGGACACAGCGTGGATTCTTTTAATTCGGTTCTCTCTCAGCTGTCGAAATTTCCTGGAAAGCTCTTGTGGCGTGCCAATATCAAGGGAATTAAAAACGTTTATATTGATTTTTAAGAATGTTCACATTGATTTTCCTTTTCTTTTAATCAAGACGGTTAATTAGGAAAGAGTGATTCTGACGATGGAGAAGTCTGTGCTGTCGTTCCGTTTTTTCTCTTGGCCCCTCCTCGTCTCTGTCTTGCGTGCAGTGGGGAGGTGGAGCCCACTGCTCCCGGTTCCCAGGCAGGACACTGCTTCCCCCGTTCCTCCGGGATGGTTCTGTGGGAAGTGAGGAAGGCACCGAAGTCTGGCTCAAGACAGTGTGTGATGCTACCATGTGGGGCTGGGGCAGAGATGAGATTGGGACCCCCCAGAATGGCTCTGAGGGTCTTGCTGGGTTGAATAAAAGTCCTGACGATGCAGCCTTAGTGTCCCAGGAGCCAGGCCCTGAGGAAAGCGTGAAATGAGAGGGTGGCTGTGGGCAGGTGGCTCACGGAGGCGCCACTACGGTACGGAAGCCAGTCCTGATCAAGTTCCATCAGGGGATGAGCCCAGCCCTTTATTTTCACACATTCTGGAAAAGGACAGCTTTCCAGATGTGTGATGCCATTTGGCATGTCCCTTTCAACTGGGAAGGTCACTTTTTGGCTAAAATCCCTCCAAGTATAACATCAATGATAAAAATTAAGCAGACACAGCCTCTTTACGATGCAGTAAATGCGAACCGTACAGGGTCTGAAGCTGTGCGCCTACCCCATAGACAGTGACTGGTCCTGGCCCTTGGAAAACCTGGGGGCTCCCTCCCCATCTTTATTCTGCGATTAGTGGAGCAACAGCTTCCTGAGATGTCCATGTCCCGCCTTCTGAGCCTGTGAAGATATTACATTACCTGGCAAAGGGGAATTAAGGTTGCTAATCAGCCGACCATAAAATAGCGAGATGATCCTGGATTTTCCCAGGGAGCCCAGTGTTGTCACAGAAGAGCCAGAGTGAAGTGAAGGCCAAGAGGCCTGGAGACTTGCGGTGGGCGGGGCTTGGAGGGGGAGGAGGGGCCACCAGGCAAGGAATGTGGGTGCCTCCAGAAGCTGGTAGAGGCATGGGAATGGCTTCTCCTGAGAGCCTGAGAAAGGAGTGCAGCCCATGACCCATGCCAGGCTTCTGTCTACAGGACGGCGCCTGCTGCCTGCCGTGTGCCAGATACAGGACGCCGGGGACAGGTGCAGAAGTCAGTAAGATCCTGAGCTTGGCTTTAAGGAGGGTGCTATCTGTGGAGGCAGGATGGCCTCAGTAACCCTAAAGGACAGGCTCCCTGTGACCTTCTTCCTCCTTCCTGGTTTCCTTGTGCTGCCCACCCCCATGCGGATTTGAAACGGAATTTTCAAGTACAAATAATTAGCCTCACAGGTGCAAAAGCAGGAATGAGGTAACATTTTCAAGGCGTCTGGCATTAATAAGTGTTTCTTTCAGATGCACCACTCATGTTCCCTGGCGCTGTTAGCACAGGTGTTTGAAGGCCCTGGCTGCTGCCTTGGCGGTGCGGAAGAGTGTGAGGTCAGCGGGGTTTGCTCTGTGAACACAGTGGGCACTGTGAGGCCTGCCTGCCTGCTCTCTGGGTGTGGGAAGGGAAAGGCAGGTAGCTCTTCTCCAGGGGTAAAGGGTTGGCGCGCTCGCCACCTGCCTGCGTGTCCCTGCCAAGGAGGCGGGGGCTAGGGTGTAGTGTCTTCTCAACGCGATGCTGTTGCTTCCTGCCCTGCCTAGACCCTGAAAGGGAGGAGCCAGGTGGCCCTCACTAAGGCTGCTGGTTCCGCCACCTGTCCTATTTCACCCCTGCAGGAAGCGGGAGAAACAGACTCTCTCGGCTGTCTGCTGTCCGGGGAGGCACCACTCCCTTCAACATAGCCTTTCGGAGAGGGCAGCGGCAGGCCTGGGGATGGCCTTGGGAGGTAGGTGGCCCCTGAGCCCATGGCTTGCTCCTGGGAAAGGGAAGCAGCAGGGAGAGGCCCCCTGGGTGCGCACAGAGAAAAGCCAACTGTTTCCCTAACTCTCTGCTCCTAACTACCCTCTCCCTAACTCCCCCTCCCAACTCCCCCTCCCTAACTTTCACCTCCCTAACTCGCCCCTCCCCAAACTCCTCCCTAATCCCCTTCCCTACCTACCCCCTCCCTAACCTCCCTCTCCCCAACCCCCACTTTGTAACTCCCCCTCCCTTTTACCTCCCTAACTCGCCCCTCCCCAAACCCCTCTCTAGATCTCCCCTCCCTTACTTCCCCATCCCTAACTCCCCCACCCCTGCAGCCTCCCTCTCCACAGCCCCCCCTTCCTAACTCCCCTCTCCCTAACTCACCTCCCTAACTTCCCCCTTCCTAACTCCCCTCTCCCTAACCACCCCCAGCTCCCCTCTCCCTAACCCCCCTCCCTAACTCATGGCTTCCCTCTTGCTCTGGGAGTGTCCTGTGGGATGGACAGATGCCTCGTGGTCCCTATGAGCCTTTCAGGTAGTTGTCACTCCTGTGAGTGCTCTCCAGGCAGCAGCAGGGGTTCTGTCCCCTAGGCCCCTGAGCCTTCGAGATTTGCAGCCCTGCCTGAACAGGAGAGCCTGGCTGACCTTGAACCCACGACTTTGCTGTAGTTTCTGGGTCCTCTTGTTGCTGATTATCTAAAACCAGAACATTATGCTGCAGGCAGTGGGGTTGAAAAACTTCTTTTTACAATAAAGCAAATATTTAAACTGCCTAAAGCTTTGAGGAGTGCAGGGAGAAGCCTGACACGGGCCCCTTTCTTCTGGAAAGGACTTTGTCCGTCTTATGTCTTACCTTCAACAGTTCATTTCTGTTGTTCCCGGCTGGCAACAAACAAAGAACCCCCTACCCCCACCCACCAAAAAAGAACCCAACTTGTTTTTAAAAAGAACATGCTAGTCCTTATCTGCAGCAGGGCTCAGCAGCCAGACACCCCAGGCAGCCTCCAGCCAGTGGTAGCTGATACACAGCACAGGCCGTGGCAAAGTCATCTGATTTGAAACTTTTCGGCAAAATAAAAGTAATTTCTTGGGGTACTGAAGGAGAGATGAAGCCCAGGGGAAGGTGTTCTGGTACTGAAGTTAAAGGAATTCTCTGGAAGGTACACAGAGTTCTCTTGTCACTGAAAGTAGTCAGTCCCTTGTTAAACAAAGGTACCTGAGTCCCCAGCGTCTCTGCCCCTCTGTTAGCTCTGGGGAATCAGCAAGACCTCGAGGTAGTGCTGACCGCACCGTCCCGCAAGGGTGTGTTCACAGTCTGTCTCCCCCACTGACACTGATTCCTCGGAGCGAAGAGAGGGGCAGAGACGCTAGACTCAGACACCTCTAGTTCCATGTGGTCAGTGAGCATCCCAGGTGGGGAGCAGCGTGTGCAGCAGCGTGGATGCCAGGAGCCCAGGACTGTAAGGCATGCGGTGTTGCACGGGGACCTGGGAGAGGTCCCGCTCCTGGGAAGGCGGGCAGAGAAACCCAGTGAGGCCTTCTCTGCAGGCTGAGACATTTGTACTTTAGATGGAAGGCATTGAGATCTACTAGAGCTTGAATCCAGATTTGCTTTTTTGGAAAAGTTATTCTGTCGGTTTTGTGGAGGATGATTTGAGATGGTCTTGACCAGGGATCTGTCAAGGGACAGGGAGTTGGTATTTTCAGTCTCCACAGTCTGTTGCAACCACTCAACTGTGCAGTTGGACTCAGCATGCCGGGAAGGAATCTGAGCTTGCTTTAATCAGCTGCATCTACACACCAGGCCATGTCCACACACCAGGCCACGTCCACACACCAGGCCACACCTACACCCCAAGCCACATCCACACACCAGGCCGCACCTACACACCAAGCCACGTCCACACACCAGGCCACACCTACACACCAGGCCACGTCCACACGCCAGGCCGTACCTACACACCAGGCCACGTCCACACACCAGACCACACCTACACACCAGGCCACGTCCACACACCAGGCCGTACCGACACAGCAGGCCACGTCCACACACCAAGCCACACCTACACACTAGGCCACGTCCACACACCAAGCCACACCTACACACTAGGCCACGTCCACACGCCAGGCCATGTCTACACACCAGGCCGCACCTACACACCAGGCCGCATCCACATACCAGGCTGCACCTACACACCAGGCCACGTGCACTGACACACCAGGCCGCACCTATACACCAGACTGCACCTACACACCAGGCCATGTCTACACACCAGGCCGCACCTACACACCAGGCCATGTCTACACACCAGGCCGCACCTACACACCAGGCCATGTCTACACACCAGGCCGCACCTACACACCAGGCCGCACCTATACACAAGGCCGGGTCCACATACCAGGCTGCGTCTACACGCCAGGTGGGGGACTGGATTTGGCCCAGGTGGTAGTTTGCAGCCCTCCCAGCAGGTGAGAGGGTGCTTGTAGAGTGAGTGAGAGGCAGTAGCGGTCAGGCCCTGTGCAGAGTTCTCTACCCTGAGCATCGGCCCTGTGCAGAGTTCTCTACCCTGAGCATCAGCCCTGTGCAGAGTTCTCTACCGGGAGCATCTGGCGTGGCCATCAGCATGGCTCTGGGAAGTAAACTGAGGCCAAGAGAAGTCCCTTGGCCGAGCCCAGATGGTCTAGATCAGGGGTGTTCAATCTTTCGGCTTCCCTGGGCCGCATTGGGAGGATTGTCTTGGGCCACATGTAAAATACACTGATAGCTCATGAGCTGAACAGACTCATCGTGTCTTAAGAAAGTTGACACATTTGTGTTGGGCTGCATTCAAAGCCATCCCGGGCCGCATGTTGGACAAGCTTGGTCTAGATCATTAGGCCTCTGAGAGTCACCAGGGTGAGAGGGAACTGGAGCTGGGCTGTGTGGATGGGTGGGGAGAAGGGGCCAGGTCTAGAGCTGGGCGGACGCATGTGGGGCTGAGGAGGGAGGAGGGTTAGAACTAATTGCTTCCCATAATGGCTCCTGAGGGCCAGGGGAGGAGGACCTTGTTTGCGGGGCCTGTGGGCATCGGATGATGAGGCTGAGAGACTGGGTCAGGCTAGAAAGGCGTGGAGGTCTTCACCCTAGAGGGCAGGCCCTGGGAGAGGTCAGTGGGCTCCGTCCCCTGCCAGCACTGGGGACTGGAAGACCTGCCTGCAGGTCTGGAAGACTGGAAGAGGCCAACAGAGAGTGCCTCGCTACCTCCAGGAGGGACGACCGGGGGATGTGCTCTCTGGGTTTGCCGCTGGTGCAGGCTTCAGGTCGACGCTTCCGAGGATTAGCCGAGAAGGAAGAGAGGGTGTAGGTGTGGGTGAGGGGCCTGGGCAGGGGTGGGGAGAGACAGAGGTGCCGGGGACTCAGGGAAGGGTTTTCCTTGATTCAGATTCGCCATTTATTCAGCAGCAGTTGAGTGTCTCTGGGAGCGTAGGGTCTGGAGGTGAGGTGGTGACAAGGTGGGAGACTTGTGCCACCTGGGGATGGGAGGGAGGATCCAGAAGAGCAGGCGCCTGGCGGCTGGGGGGACTGATCTGCGTGGCAGTATGGGCCTCACCCACGGGCCTCAGCTGCTGAAGGTGGCCGCAGAGGGGTCTCCTGGGAGAAGTGGGCCTGAGGTTTGTCAGGGGCGGTGAAGGTGCGCAGTGACTCACCGAGTGCTGGGGGAGTTGAACGGGGAACATGAGGGCTCCAGGGGCCGGTGGCAGGGCTCCAGGGGCCGGTGGCAGCACAGCACAGTGCCTGACCCCAGGCCCTGCTGGCGGGCACTGTCTTCCTGGGCCTGCAGCTCACGTGGGGCAGCTAAGCAGCTCGATCTGTGCGGGGCTTGATCTGGGCCGTGGGTTCACAGTAGGACGAAGGTGGGCCCCCAGCAGGATGCGGAGGGGCTGTTGAAGAAGTGGCTGATGGCCCACCTGGCATCTCTGTCCCTTTAGCCTGTGTGTGCAAACCACCTGCTCCCTGCCTGGCAGTGCGTCAGGTGCTGGGGCTGTGACAGTGGGCAAGTCCCTGCCCAGGAGCAGAAATATTCACCTAGCCAGGCAGGGATGGTGGGAGGGACGGTGGGAGAGCCGGAGCTGCGTGGGAGGGGGGCGCTCGCGCAGGTCTTCCTGAGTTGCTGATGCCTGGTTGAAGAAACGGAGCGCCTGTGTGAAGAGCAGGCCCAGCTGTTCCAGGCAGGGGAACTGCAGGCTCTGCCCCGGGGACGAAGCCAGTGTGGTCAGGGGACAGAAGGAAGCCCATCTGTGGCTGGTGGCAGGCAGAGGAGACGGTGCAGTGTGAGGGCTGAGTGATGGGGGCACAGTGGGTTCATCCCAGGAGCTGCAGAAGCCGCCGAAGCTGGGAGTGTGCCATCTAATGGACGCCCCTTCATGGCGGGTAGCGAGGGAGTGTCAGATGATGGTGGGATGGCAGCTGGCACAGGGACTCCATGGTGAGGGTGGAGCAGTGTTGTGCGGGAGGCAGCCGGGGAGTGGAGGGAGGCAGCCGGCGGGGCACGGTGAGCACGGGCCGTGCAGGAGGGCAGAACCTGCCCCGGAGTCAGTGCTGAGTAGGGAAGCAGAGGATGAGGCCACTCAGGTTTTCTGTGGTGGCGGTGCCTTATGTTTTTATCAGAGTGTAATATTCACACAGAAAAGCACAGCTCCCAGGGTCCCAAGAGAGCTTGAACCAGGCCACTGTGGACACGGTGGCCATGCGTCACCACCACCCTTCCCACGGGGAGATCCGGAGCAGTTAGGCTGAGGGAAGAGCTGAATAGTACTTGTGTCTTGAAACGTGTCTAAGACACATGTCAGAAATGCAGGTAAGGTAGGGTGTGGGCATTGGCACCTACAATCCCAGCATTTTGGGAGGCTGGGGCAGGAGGATCACTTGAGCCCAGGAATTCAAGACGAGCCTGGGCAACAATATAACGAGGCTTCATCTCTATAAAAAATTTAAAAATTAGCTGTGCATGGTGGCACATGACCGTAGTCCCAACTGCTTGGGAGGCTGAGGTGGGAGGATCATGTGAGCCTAGGAGGTTGAGGCTGGAGTGAGCGTGGTCATGCAGCTGCTCTCCAGCCTGGGCAACAGAGTGAGGCCCTTTCTCAAAAAAATAAAAGAAAAGAAAAAAGAAATGTAGGTGGAATTTGCACAGGAGGTGAAGTAGAGTGCTTCAGAGCCCACAGGAGACTTCTGGGGCCTGGCTGGGGTTTGAAGCCATGGAGCTGGAAAGAGGCTGGGAGGGGCGGGGCCTGGGCCTGGCCAGAGGAGGATGCCCAGCGCTGGGAACGCCAGCCCCGCTGCCTGGAAGGCCCCAGTGACCAGCCCTGTAACCACCTCAGGGGGTCCTGACAGGCCTGCCCCTTAAAGGGAGCAAGGAGTCCTCTCTATGGGCCTGGAGGAACTGCAGGCAGCCCCGCTCTGCTGTTAGGAGGCTCGCTCTGAGCAGCAGGCCCCACCTATGAGCCTTATTCACTCTTCTAACCTGACCCTGGGGGCTAAAACCTGAGACTGCCGGAAAGCTCCGGGAGCAGGCTTCCTCGTGGAACTGTCATCCTGCTTTTGCCTCTTCTCAGCCCAGCGGCCTGCAGCATGGAGAAGGGGTATCTCTGGTGAGGGTGTCTGTCCCTGGCCACTATGCACCAGGGCCTCATGCTCCATGCATTTGGGGCCCAGAATTGCACAGAGCCACTGGAGTCCCCAAGTCCTTCCCAGAAGAGCTGATTAGGACTCTAGCCTATTAGAGGACAGGGGACAATAGCCCTGGCCGGGAGGACAGCGTCTGCCCATAAAGCCACAAGTTTGCTGTTCTGTTGTTTGCTTGAGGACCTAGCCAGGGAAGCTTCCCAGGCCAGAGTTCACTGAGGGCCGATGGTCACCAGGAGCCGTCTCCCCACCCCCCGAGTGGCACTTGTCGGCTGTCTGGAGACAGGCAGCTCTCACCGAGGCGGCGCAGACGCGGGCCTGGCGCCCCGTGGCTGCACTGAGCCATCATGCTGTGTGCTCCGAAAGTGTGGTTGGCAGCAGCGGGGAAGGGCTGCAGCTCCTGGCTGCCACCAGCACCCTGACCCTGGGGCTCTTCCACAGAGCCACGCCTGGGGTGGAGGGTGGCCTGGGAGGGGCCTGCAGCTAAGCCAGGCCCCACGGTGAGCCCAGGAGTTCTTTGGAGGCAAGGCACAGATACGCTGGCCTCCAGGCAGCCAGAGCAGCTCAGACTCTGGTCCCTATGGTCATTTGCGTTAATAGAAAGACGCCAGGGGACAGACGGCCAAAAGAACAACAGCTACCAAAAACAAGGAGCGTTTGGATTTGCTTTGGATCTGTTTTGTATTCAGATGTCCCAGGAGCCTAACCCCGAGGAAGTGGAGACTGCTTCACTTACTGCACATTTGCCTGCCCTGGCCAGGCACTGTTCTAGGAGCTGGGGATACAGGGGTGGAGACAGAAACAAACCAATAACTGTGTGCTGTATTCTCGCCAGGTGGGGACAAGTGCCAAGGACCCAGGGACGGAGGGTGATGTCAGCAGCAGGGCAGTCAGGGAGGGCTTCTTGGATGAGGTGGCATTTGAGTAAAATACAGACCTGTACCCTGTCTGTGATCCTATCCCACCTCACCCGTCAACCTTCCCCTCCCACCTGCCTCCCCGCCATGTCTCTCTTTAGAGGGATCACAGAGCGCAGCCCGCAGGGAACTCCCTCTCTCACTCAGCTTCCTACCATGCCAGCTGGGTCGGGAGATGGAACAGTTCTGCTCTGGAAAGACTTCACGTCTTGCTGAATGAAAGTAAACAAAGATACTGCCAGAGTCAGGGATTCATGAAGCCAAGGAAGTAACAATGGCCACAAAGCGACATACTATTTCTTCCAGGAGAGTCAGCCTCCGGCGCCTCAGCTTCCGGAACTGAGCCGGGACTGAGCTTGCGGGCGCCCTGACTTCTCTCCTCCCTCCCTGGCTGTGCAGGTCCCGCCTGACTGCCCCGCTGATGCCCCTGCAGCCGTCCGAGCACCCGGAATGGAATGAGTCTATGCACTCCCTCCGGATCAGTGTGGGGGGCCTTCCTGTGCTGGCGTCCATGACCAAGGCTGCGGACCCCCGCTTCCGCCTCCGCTGGAAGGTGATCTTGCTATTCGTGGGGGCCGCCATCCTCTGGCTGCTCTGCTCCCACCGCCCGGCCCCCGGCAGGCCCCCCACCCATAATGCACATAACTGGAGGCTCAGCCGAGCGCCCGCCAACTGGTACAATGACACCTACCCCCTTTCCCCCCCACAAAGGACGCCGGCTGGGGTTCGGTACCGGATTGCAGTTATCGCTGACCTGGACACAGAGTCCAGGGCCCCAGAGGAGAATACCTGGTTCAGTTACCTGAAAAAGGGCCACCTGACCCTGTCAGACAGCGGGGACAGGGTGGCCGTGGAGTGGGACAAAGACCACGGGGTCCTGGAGTCCCACCTGGCGGAGAAGGGGAGAGGCATGGAGCTCTCTGACCTGATCGTGTTCAATGGGAAGCTCTACTCCGTGGACGACCGGACAGGGGTCGTCTACCAGATCGAAGGCAGCAAAGCCGTGCCCTGGGTGATTCTGTCCGACGGCGATGGCTCCGTGGAGAAAGGTAACCGGGCCCCGAGAGCTTATGGAGGTGTGGGTGAGTGTGGGGCGCGGGGCCTGGCTGGCAAACGCAGGCAAGGGTGAAGAATTCACATGCCCAGAAGGTGGCGGCGTGACGGTACAACACGTCTCCCTCCTGCTCTGACCTGCGGCCTCCTGACCCCTAGCCGGGAGGGCAGCCTCTGTCACTTCACACCGAGCAGATTCTGGGTGTGAGAGCTTATCACTAGAGGCCTGCGGGAGAAGTGGGGGTCTTTCCTGGATGTTTCTCGGCTGCATCGCGGCTGCTCCGAGAACCTCTGGGCACACAGCCCTTTTTACACCTTCAGAGCTTCTCAGGAGCATGCTGGGACGTGCCTCAAAAGCCATGGGTCAGATGGTTCTCACGTAAAACCCAGACTTTGGTTTCCTGTTACTGAAGGGTGAACTCCTGCCCAGCCCTCCTCTCCCTGCAGCCCAGCAGGGTGGGGCGAGTGAGCTGCGGCCACCCCTGTGCAGTGCAGCCTGAGTCCAGCCTTTTTGTTCACCAGAAAGGAGGTGCTGCTTCTGCAGGGCAGGGACAGGCTCCAGGGGGGTGCAGTGCCAGTGTCATCCTCCAGGGAGGGGCCGGGAGGCACCAAGGACACTGGCAGAGGAGCTGCACATGGCTCCATTTGTCTGGGCTGGCAGTGGGTTCCTGCCTTCTAGAAAGCTCGATGCCACCGCATGCTCTCTCAGGTCGAGAAGGAACTGCACACACAACTCCTGGCCAGCCAAGCCCTCCCACACCCAGTGATAAAACCTTCAGTGTTTGCGCAGGGCTGGGCAGGGGACAGACCTCACCTGAGGAAGCAGAGAAAGTGTGGGTCGCCTACTTCCTGCCTCACACTTGTCGGGTTTCAGGCAACCCTGGCGTAGTTCTGTCCTTCCCTTGGGTAGGGAGGAAAGCGGGGTCAAGGGAGCTTTGTGGTTGGGCTGTGCTCAGGTCATTTCAGGCGGGGTGGAAGACCCAGGGGGTGGAGAGCATCTCATGGCACAAGGGACCCAGGAGACAGCGGGTCCCTCCAGGGCCCTGCACAGAAGCTGCTGTGGTCTCAGGCGGTTGAGGGGCACGGCTCCAGCTCTCAAGGCGAGAGGCTGGCAGAATTTAGGGAATGCAAACGGAAGTGAGCACACCAGGCTCTAGGGATGGTCAGAATCCTCTGCAAGAACACAAGCCCTACACAGCCTGAACTGGGCGGAGCCTTCAAAGTCAGGCTGACTTTAAATAAATCAGTTTAAGAAAAAGCAAAAACAGCTTCTGAACAAATACACTGAAAGGAAGACTGGGAGCCCCAACGCTAAGCCCCTCTGCAGCGCGGGTGTTAGAGTAGTGCTCCGTCAGAGCTCAGGTGCGGCGAGGGTGCGCACACACGCCCCGGTACACACGTGCCCCTTCGGAGTGTTGCACTGCTCAGCCTTTCTAGCCCTGAAGGATCATCTTGAGGCTGGTGTTATGGCTGAAGCAGGGAGTTGGGGATCAGAGGAGACTTGAGAGTGGTGGCTGGACCCTCAGGAGCTGAGGGGAAGGCAGGAGGAGGTGCGGGGCCTCAGGGTGCTGCTCTGCTTGGCCAGGCTTCAAGGCCGAGTGGCTGGCGGTGAAGGACGAGCGTCTGTACGTGGGCGGCCTGGGCAAGGAGTGGACGACCACCACGGGCGACGTGGTGAACGAGAACCCGGAGTGGGTGAAGGTGGTGGGTCACAAGGGCAGTGTGGACCACGAGAACTGGGTGTCCAACTACAATGCTCTGCGGGCCGCTGCCGGCATCCGGCCACCAGGTAAGATTCCCCCAGCCCCACAGTGTGGCTTCCGCAGCCCCTCGCTGGGAACCTGCTTCCCGCCTGCATTTGCCTCCAGGATCCTTTTTTTTTTTCTTTTTTTGACAAAGTCTTGCTCTGTCACCCAGGCTGGAGTGCATTGGTGCAATCTGCTCACTGCAACCTCTGCCTCCTGGGTTCAAGCATTCTCCTGCCTCAGCCTCCCCAGTAGCTGGGGCTACAGGTGTGCGCCACCATGCCTGGCTAATTTTTTGCATTTTTAGTAGAGATGACACTTTACCATGTTGTCTAGGATGGTCTCGAATGCCTAACCTCAGGTGATCTGGTGATCCACCCGCCTAGGCCTCCCAAAATGCTGGATTACAGTCGGGAGCCACCGTGCCCGGCCGCCTAGGCCTGTTTCTTGCTTGATTTTAGTGATTTTGGTTGCCTGTGATGGTGGCTCCCCTCAGGCCAGTGGATTCTGGGGGCAAGCGAGCCGTTCTCTCTTTCCTGCTCTACCCGCCCCACTGCGCAGCTGGCCTCCTGGCATCCCCGCCTGTGGCCCTGTTGTCTGCACAGGGGCTGGTTCTGGGGGTCAAGCCCTGTCCGCACCCCTGGTGCTGGGCTGTGGTGTGCACACCGACACAGGGCTGCAGCACTGTGGCCCCCCCTTTCTCAGGATAGAGCCGGCCTCAGGTGCCTGAGGCTCCGGAGAAAGTGGCTGAGTCCCCGCCTTGGGCCCAGGGCTGTGTCCCCTTCCTTGCAGCCTCAGGGCAGCCTCCTCACATCCGGTGCGAGTTTCTTCCTTTTCCTTGGGCTCCTCTGGATCAGCACCAGGGAGGCTGCGTTGAGCCAGAGCCCTGATGCAGCTCACAGGCAGCTCTCTGGGGATGGGAGGGAGTGCTGCAAGTTCCCTGCCTGGAATAACTGAGGACACAGAAGCCTGGAGAGCTGGGGCGGGGGCTGCTGCGGGCTGGTGGGCCCTGGCGGTCACAGCCCGTGCTTGCTGCGCACGGCCTGATGGCGTGGGGCTGGGCGCGCCAGGCCGCGTGCGTGTCTGACCCGAGGTCACCCGGTCCCCAGGCTACCTCATCCACGAGTCTGCCTGCTGGAGCGACACACTGCAGCGCTGGTTCTTCCTGCCACGCCGCGCCAGCCAAGAGCGCTACAGCGAGAAGGACGACGAGCGCAAGGGCGCCAACCTGCTGCTGAGCGCCTCCCCCGACTTCGGCGACATTGCCGTGAGCCACGTCGGGGAGGTGGTCCCCACGCACGGCTTCTCGTCCTTCAAGTTCATCCCCAACACCGACGACCAGATCATCGTGGCCCTCAAGTCCGAGGAGGACAGCGGCAGAGTGGCCACCTACATCATGGCCTTCACGCTGGATGGGCGCTTCCTCCTGCCGGAGACCAGGATCGGAAACGTGAAGTACGAAGGCATCGAGTTCATTTAGCTCAAAGCAGGGAGACGCTGGGCAAGGCCGTCAGGACTCAGCTTTTATAAAAACCAGAGGAGGGCACTTCTGTTTTGATTTGTGCTTTTTGGAACTGTGCCTGGGTTGGAGGCCTGGACAGGGAGCCCGATGCCGGGCTGGGCAGGGGCGCTTCTGAACGCCCCATGCTGCCCTCTGCTGGTGAGATTGGTCACTTTGGGCATTGAGTCAAAGCCTGCGGGCGTGGCCAGGCCCTTTTCCATCTGACCTCCATTGTTTTCTACGTTCTTTTGTTCAGTAAATATTCCTGGAGCTCCTACCCTATGTCAAGCACTGTGCCTCACCCCGAGCACACAGTGAGCATAAGGTGGACCTGCCTGCTGGGGACCCCTAGGTCACACCCTTTTCTTCCTCGTCTGAGCCTGGGGCATCATGTCCAGCCCTGCAGATCCTTGGAAAAGAAAATGTTTACATTGCAGGGCATTGCATGGCCATGAGCGAGAGCGAGGGCAGGCCCCTGAGGACACATCTCCCACAGCTGCACAGGCAGGCCTCAGATAAATCCATCTCCACTTCATCTGGCCAGGGACTGCTTTCTCCCTTCAGGAGAATTCTGGGGCCATGTAGCACTTCGAAGTTTTAATGATTAACCTGTTTTCACTGAAGCAGTTTCGTTTCTTATGAAGCGAATCACCACCTCTTATCACGCAGAGCCAAGTCCAGCCCGCTCCAGCCGCAGAGGGGATTGGCAGGACGCAGTGACAGTTGGTGAACCAAGCGTCAGGTTTCGGAGTTCTTGGCCAGCGGATACAAAGATAAAATGTTGCCTTTTCCCAGCAACTGTCAGAAATTGTCACGCCTTTCAGGACTTTTATGAGCGACTTGAATTTTTTATTCCCTGCCTTGGGGTTTCTGGTGGCTTCAGGTGACCCGTGGCCCCAGGGCTCCTTTGTCCTGGGGAGGGTCTGTGAATGAGGCCTGTCACTTCTCTGGGGTTTCTTTCCATGGCCTCTGTTTCTCTGCAGCCTCTTCTCTGTGGAAACCTCACATGAGCGCTGGCCAGGCTGCTGTCTTCCAGGCACTCCAGGGCGAAGGCAGAGTGGGAGTTGAGATCGAGGTCAGGCGGTCAGGCATGACCCAGGCTGAGAAGGGCGTTTCCGTCATCTCAGTGCTCTTGCACAGCACTACCTCACCCCAACCCCCACCCCCACCCTGACCCCACCCCCGGCCATCAGAGGGGCCATGCTGGGTGGGAGGGTGAGGCTCTGGCTGCCCCTGTGCCCGTCCCTCACAAATCTCTCTTGAAACTCAAGCACAGCTGTGAGGAGGGCAGCCAGGAGGGACCCCTCTGGAGCTGGTTGTCTGTTTCCCTCTGTGTCATAAGTAGCGGAGGAAGTGAACGCTGAATGTGACACGTTTCTGAAGAGCTCAGCTCCCACCGGGCGTAGCCTGGAAGCCCCAAGTCTGTCCTGACTTTCGTGGCTGTGTCTCTGACCCGCCTCCTTGATCACTGTCCTTGATGTCCAGGCTGGGTCATGTAAAACGGAGATGCAGTCGGGAAGGCTGGGGGACCTGAGACCTTGCCGAGGTATTCCCGTCAGCGCCTGAGCCACAGCCCAGGTGCCCGGGAGCAGCCTCGTCACAGGCAGTGATCTGCCATTACTCTAAAGCTCACCTTTTTCTTCCCCTCTCTGTTTGCTGCTGTCAGCATAATGATTGTGTTCCTTCCCTACGGGATCCGTCAGTTTTGTAAACAATAAAGCGTCTGAGGGAGTGTAGTTCTGTCTCCCTGTCTGCGCTGGCTGTTTGCAGAGGCACGAGATGCCCGGGGTGCACACGGGGGTCGCCCACCAGGGGAGCCCTTCTGGAAACTGCGTCCTCCAGTCTCAAGGCGCTCCAAGAGCACGAGTGCTGTGGTCAGAAAGGGAAGGTCTGAAGGCGTTGCAAGCCCAGGCCTGGCTCTGTCCCCTTCCAGCCACACGTCTGCAGACAAATGGCCTAACTTTCCTGTGCTCCAGCATCCTCGTCTGCAAAAGGAAGCTAATCGCAGATTCCATCCCAGGGCTGCAGTGAATGGTAAGTGCCTGGGCGCATGCAAAGGTCTCAGAACGCCTCCTGACGCGTCGTGGGCACCCAGGCTCCCGTTTCGCTGCTGCTCATCCCTGGGGAGCCCTCTGGAAGACGTGGTAAGGAGGCGCACAGGTGACAGGCCGGGCTGAGCTGGTGTCTTTAGTGTGTCTGGTGAATCCACAGGAGCAGAGGTGGTCGCTCCAGGGGACATGTGGGACAGTCCCCATCACTGGAACTGCAAATGCCAGGAAGGCAGGCACTGGCCAAGAAAGAGAGAACTCAGCTGGAGACAGGACAGGGGCAGCCAGAGAAGGAAAGAAGACCCGGAGAGCAGAATCAGAAAGGCCAAGTGCGCCCACTCAGCCTCTTACCTTCAAGCCCACTCTCCTACCCCACCTCCCGTACCCTCTGGGATGGCTCCTGGGGAGTCCCTGACTTCCTCTGGCACTTGCCTCTCAAGGCAGCCCCTCCAGCGCCCCTCCCAGTGTCTGGGCCGATTCCCCCTCCCCGGTCCCTTCTGGCCTGGGACTGTGACAGCTCCACTGTCCACAGCTCCAGATGCCACAGATGGCCCTTGTGCAGCCCCCACACCCTGCTCGCTCACCCCTGGTAAACAGTTCCCTTCACTGAAGCCTCCTTCGATGCCCCTCATTCGGGTGTCATGTGTTCCTGCTGGGAGTCTGACCAAGACAGCCCTGCAGGAGGAGGCCTCTCCAGAACACAGATGCCGCAGCAGGGTCCCTGGAGACTCCCGAGAGTGAGCAGCAAGGAGAACCAGGCATTCTCGGCAGGGATCCACAGGAGAGCCGTTCCAGAAGAACCCAGCACACATTGGCCGAGGCGGGGCCGGGATAAGGAACTGCACGTAAGCTCTTGACTGTCTCTTTAAGAAGCCGTGACATGCGGGCCTCAGGGTAGTAACTACCTGCCCCACACTCATGTCCAGCACGCAACTCATCCGACTGGACGAAAAGTCAAGATTCAGTTTCTTTCATTCCACATGTTTGTCCCGTCTTCCAGTATGCTTTTTTTTTTTGGAGACAGAGTCTTGTTCTGTTTCTCAGGCTGGGGTGCAGTGACACGATCCCAGCTCACTGCAACCTTCGCCTCCCAGGTTCAAGCAATTCTGCCTCTGCCTCCCAAGTAGCTGGGATTACAGGCATGCGACACCACGCCCAGCTAATTTTTGTATTTTTACAAAATTACAAAGATGAGGTTTCACCATGAGAGATGGGGTTTCACCATGTTGGCCAGGATGGTCTCGATCTCTTGACCTTGTGATCCGCCTGCCTCTGCCTCCCAAAGTGCTGGGATTGCAGGCATGAGCCACCGCCCCAGCCCCAGTACACTTTAAATTGATAAATCTCAAGTTATCCCTTCACACCGTTAAAATAGTTAAATAAAGCAAAAATAAAACACCTTCACACAAAACCACAGGCCCAGATGGCTTCACTAGTGAATTGTACCAAACACGTAAGGGAGAAATAACACCAAACCCGCACAAAACCTTCCATGACTCTGGGAGTTGGGAACACTTTTCCAAGCCATTTTATGTGGACACCACTATACTGATATCAAAACCAGACAAATACCTTCCAGAAAAAATTCAGACCAGTATCCCTCATGACGATGCAGAAATCCTTAGCACAGATTATCAAGCCCCATTCATCAATAATTGAAAATTAGAATGTTACTGGAAAGGGGTCCTGACCCAGATCACCAAGAGAGGGTTCTTGGATCTCACACGAGAAAGAATTCCAGGCAAGTCCATGGAACAAAGTGACAGCAAGTTTACTAGGAAAGTAAAGGAATGAAGAATGGCAACTCCAACGCAGAGTGGCCCAGGGCTGCTGGTGGTCTCTTTGTGTGTTTTACGGTTATTTCTTATATGCCAAACAAGGGATGGATTGCTCACGCCCCCCTCTTTAGACCGCGTAGGGTGACTTGCTGACATTGCCCCGGCCTTTGTCCGGGCACTTTTGGGAGGGGAGCAGTGAGGACAACCTGAGGTCACCCTCATGGCCGTCTTGGTTTTGGTGGGTTTTAGCCGGCTTCTTTACTGCACCCTGTTTTATCAGCAAGGACCTGTGACCTGTGTCTTGTGTCAACCTCTTGTCTCATCCCGTGACCAAGAATGCCTTCACCTCCTGGGAATGCAGCCCAGCAGGGGTCAGCCTTCCTTTACCCAGCTGCAATCCAAGATGGAGTCACTCTGGTTCAGACACCTCTGACAAGAATACCTCATAGTAAGTGTGGTTTATCGTAGGAATGCAGGGTTAGTTCAATATTCCGAAATCAATCAATGAAATAATATTTTATATTAAGACTAAAAAGGGGCCAGATGCGATGACTCATGCCTGTAATCCCAGCATTTTGGGAGGCTGAGGTGGGTGGATCATTTGAGGTCAGGAGTTAGAGACCAGCCTGGCCAACATGGCGAAACCCCGTCTCGACTAAAAACACAAAAAATTAGCAGGGCATGGTGGCACATGCCTGTAGTCCCGGCTGCTTGGGAGGCTGAGGCAGGAAAATCACTTGAACCCAGGAGGAAGAGGTGGCAGTTTACTGAGATCATGCCATTGCTCTCCAGCCTAGGCGACAGAATGAGACTCCATCTAA